GAGAGAGAGAGAGAGAGAGAGAGAGAGAGAGAGAGAGAGAGAGAGAGAGAGAGAGAGAGAGAGACTGTGGGATTTTGTTACATTTATTCTTATTAGTTTGTTGTTTTTTGTTTTGTTTTTGTTAAAATGCATTTCTGGTGCTGGAAAAAAGTATGTTTAGAGGGGATTGCAGAGGGGAAAGAAAGCAGTGCGAGTAATGAAGGACTGCATAAATGGGTTGTGCTGTTATAATGGCAAGGAAGGAAGGGAATTAAATTCACTAGCTTTCATTTGTTTATCTCAGAAAGATTTATTYGGGTAGTGTGTGACACTGAACAATCGTCCAATATGTGCTGAAATGCTGCTCTGCTTTCCCTGTATTTTTTTTTTTTGCATTGCAACTTAATGAAGGCAACCCAAGCTGCTCTTGTTTTTACTGCACACGTGCAGTACACTGTAAAACCTGGTACAAAATTAATCTCAGCTAAATAGTGTAAAAATGCAAAAGCAATGTATTTTTTAATCACCAAATACATTCTACAAGTTGTTTGACTAATCTTTGACTCAGCCTGCACAATAAGTATTACTTAAAGTTGTTCATACAACCCACAGTAGTGGAAGAATATTTGAAATGTAAATTTTTATAATTAAATGAAACAGTAACGGGTGCAAAGGCTATATTGTTGTAATAGTTGTAACAAGGAAGTACTTAGTTACGTTGGAGTAGTTACCACCTGGTTACACTTGAATCATACTTGGTTAAGTTACCATGAAACAGTGGAGTGTTTTTTAGTATTACAGTATGTTTTTTTTCTTTTCATGCTTAGACCTTTTATCACAAGTAGTMTTTATAGCCTCACCACCATTCACTCCCACAGACAAACACACTGGTTTCAGTTGATTATAAAATCCTAATTGGTAAAACCCAATCCTACATTCTTATTCTCCGCTCCAGCTGCTACATTAACCTATCTATACCTAAAGCACAAATTTCCTGCAGCCATTCATTATTTCAGTTGCTGCTAATGAATAAAACTATCTACAACAAACTGTACGACATACTTTTTGTCCTATTTTGCATCGTTTAAAATCTCAGTGAGAGCATCGCTTGATGATCGCTGCACACACTTTTAGCAACTTCCGCTTCAATCTCGGTTGTTACTCACTTCTACCACGGACCTGACCTTTCTTTAACATTTCATATGGCCTGTACCAGTGGTTCCCAACCAACTGGCCAACCTCACCCAGTGGGGGCGCCAGAGAGCACAGCGAAGCTCCATAACCTTGTCTGCTCAGAGGTTGTGAAAGTATCAATATATTGTTGTGTATGTAAAAATCACCCAATATTTGATTGTCAGCCATTTATAGGTTGTTTGTTTTCCTGGTCCTGTATTGTAAATGAGATTGTGTCATCATCTGACTAATCCGGTTAAATAAAAGTCAAATAAATTAATTGTTGCAAAGTAATCTGTAACAGCTTACTAAGTACCTGTTGGTAAATACAGACCTACAAATGAGCTATAGTTTCCATGTTTTTACCCACTTAATCRAATAGCAATTACCCAGTAAATAACTGCAATTTATAGAGTAACTGCTGGGTACTTGATCATTAAAGCACTTAAAAAGAAAAAGTTATTGAGATATCATCCAGGAAACTGTCAATAAAATTGTCAGTGAAGGGATAAGAGTTGCCATTTGTGTTACCAAGTTCTTAGTTGTTGTTTTTTTCAAACCTAAATTCTCCTTGAAATATTTCATAATTGTCTAAAAAAAGAGGGCTAAGCAGTTCAAGTTTTTTAACTGCTTTTCAGATTGTGTTGTTCTGTACTAATGCTYAAAATGTTTTTATATAGAACTTGTACTTGCCTGAATTCTTGTAAAATGTGTTTTCATGAAAAAAAAAAAATCCAACAAATGCCTGCAGTTATCATAAGTGTGTTCAACATTCTTCACATTTAATGGTTCAGAAACTGAGTACAATCAGTGTTTTTGGACATTAATTTTGACACAGTTTTGTCTGCTTTTAATCATTTGTTGTGTGCCATTGTTCATTTTCTTACTGTGGTGTTTTTTTATTAATATATTTTTAATCAGAACTGTTTGTGTTTTCTCTCCAGTTTAGGGTATTTAATGCTGGACAGTCCTCTGGACAGGGAGACTTTGGATTATTACACCTTGGTGGTCACAGCCTCAGATGGACACCCGAATGGAGTAAGGACCTTGTCTCTGATACCGATAGTTTGTATAACACACGCTCACTCTGAAGAAACAAGCTGGATTACTTCTTCTGTCTGTTATTTCGGTGGCTACAGCAGAGCATCTGTTTCCATCTCTCCCTCTCCAGTTCATCTTCATTTGTCAACCAGTTGCATGTTCGATCCAGTTCTGCTACTGTCCAGCAGCTCCATCTTCAACACTCATTTCCCAATCCATCCAGCTTCTTTCCTTCACTGCACATGTCCAAACCACCCAATTATTTCCATTTTACTTTGTTCCACAATTGTTCAGCCCGATATAGAGTCATTCCTGATCCTCTTCATCCTTGTCACCCTCCATGCAAATCTTGGCATCTTTAATTCAGCTGCCCTCTGTCCTTTCATCAGTGGCAGTCTTTAAATCCTTTAATTCAGTTTCCCTCTCCCTCTTTCTCTAGAGGTTTGTAAATCTTTCCTTTTGCCTTCTCCTAGAACATTTTCTTCACAAATCATTATTGGTGTTCTTCTCCACCCCGCCTACACTCTTCACCTCTCCTCTGCAGTTCATAACTTGAACGTAATTCCGTTCACAACTTGAACATAAGTTCTTACGATTCCCCTTTTTTTAAACTCACATTTTGCCCCTCTCTCACTGTTTCATTCTTCTCCTCTTTAACCTTCTTTATTTTTTTCACGACAGTATTGTCTGTGAATATAAAAGTCTGATGAAATTCTTGTCTGGACTCATCAATCAGCCCTTCCATCACCACAGCAAAAAGAAAAAAAAAATTGGCTTAGCTTGGAGCAGCGCTGCAAATCCCTCCTCCACATCAACTCCCATCTGTTCCTACAACACACCTCCCTACAGTCTCAGGGCTCCACTCGTCAACTCCTGTCACCTTTAGGTTCCCCTAGTCACTGCAACCATACCTGTCAATATTTAAGCCAAAAGCTAATTCCTCTAACTTGATTTTTTTTTTGTTTCATTTTTTTTAAGAATAAATGTAACTTCTCAGCGTTTTAACCAAAGCTTGGTTTTTGTTACATAAATTAAGATATCTCGGCACGTCTCTTTCTGAGAGGCTTGAGCTATAATAATAATGAGCAATGTAAACCTGTCATGATTTACACAGAAAAATGGGAGCAGTGAGGTCAGACAGTTATTTTCAGCCACTTGTAAATCACTTTAAATGTCAGCGGCTGATCACATTTGTTATTTTCATCAAAGCGTGGCTTAACAGCCCATGAAATCAGTTTTTCTCTTTTTCTCAGTTTTTGGAAACCTATTGGTTTCCAGCTGTGATGGTAAAGTCTGCACTGGAAACCCAAGTCTGTTTGTTACGTGTACAACAAAAACACATTTGATCACAGCCAGTAGTACTGGATGAGGTCAAGAGAAACTCGAGACATTAAATCAAAAAGAGCACTCTGGTGAGAATTCCCCCATATCCTCATTTAAAAAGTGTTTTTGCTTTCCCCAGACACCTTTCTGACTTTGAATGTTATAAATTCTTAATTTTATAATCTAGCACAAAGTCCTTTTTTTATTTATTCCTCAGCTATTTATAACAGTACTCTGGGTTCATTTATAAATAATTCAGTAGGAAGCTAACGATTACCTGAAAGTTTGTGGCATGATCCCCACCTTTGCGTATACATTTGTATCTTTGTCACCTAGAAGTGTTGACATGTTTTTCACATCACCTTTAAAACTCTAAGAAAGGGAAGCCTAAATAAATGTTTAAAAGAAAACTGCTCCCATTTTCACACAGCTCACTAAAGTCATTTTCTCACTCTTCTTATGTGTTCTTCAAATTCACATGATTTACTCCCACATAAAAGTCAAATGAGGACAGTGGGAGCATTCCCCTCAGCATTTTTTCTGATTCTTTTCTTTTTCTTCTCTTTTTTTGGACCTTTAGGGTTCTTGTCTCTCTCCACTCTCCTTTATTTAGTCCATAAAAAAAATATTTTGATTGTTAAATAAGGAAATTGGTCAGAACAAACGCTAACTCTGTCTAATTTTGTAGCATCATTATACCTACAAGATGAAGTGAAATGGAGAGGAGAAGGTTTATTTAGTAACAGGTCATTTGTACTTGTGTACAACTCTTCCTTCACATTCACACAAACTGTTTTCTATAGCTGCACTGTTAGTCTATGTGCCCCAAAAGTCCTCAAGTCAAAAAAAAYGAACCCAACTAGTTTAAACCTTTTTTTTTCTCAGCTTGGCACTACATTGTGTTTTGAATAAAAAGCAAAAGAGTAGAAAGAGAAGGAGAGAGAAAGGCAAAAAGAGGAATGGTGTCTGCCAAAAAGTGACAGAGGGGGTGACAGAAAGAAAACAGAAGAAGAATAGAAGTTTGGAGCGCAGTTGCTTTCTACTGGTCCATTAATCAGTATCACCAGAAAGGCCTTGGGTTGTCTTCATATGTGCACATGCACACACATACGCACCCAGTTGTGTACCATATTATTAAATGTCCTGTTGTGAAAGCGTCAGACTACAAAGTGCCTAATTGGCTATTTGGCCGGTGAATCCATCATACTGCTACAGAACAAGAACTGTACAAGTCAGTGCAGTGAACCTGCTAAGATCTTTTATACTGTAGGAGACAATTTCAACTTTGGTGTGGGAAAATGTGCTGTTGGCAAAGTGTACTTTACTACCACATCATCACCTTTAATTATTTAATTTTTTTTTTTAAATGAAGTCAGTGAACTTCAAAAGGTTTGGAAAAATAAAGCAACTCATACTGGATTAGTTAAACAATCAACAGGTCATCACAATGGGTTTAGCTTACTATAGCCTAATGGAAGTGACATTTCAATGATCTTCAGTTGCTATAAAATGAGTTCTTCTATGACAGTGGTGGGCAGCACTAATCTAAAAATTTGTTCCACGAGCCTTAAAACACTAACTCGAAAATTTTGGTCCACTAATTCTAAARCACTAACGCACTGAAAATTTAGCAAAAGCTAATTCTAAAGCACTAAAATAACCCAGTCAGAACGTTCTTCAACAGACAACATGAGTCACATATTGTCATGTTGCTCTCTTAAGACTTATCATTGACAGTCCACAGCCATGTTTGGGTTCATATATTGTCAATATGTCACCTGGATAAGTGACACACATGAACAAAATGCGACAGCTTTCACCCTCAGCTGTTAACATTAACGTTGATCAATAACATTTATAGACCTCAGTTAGTGCTTCTAAATTTAGCAAGTGCTAATCCACTAAAACATTTTAAAATTAGTAAGAGCCCTAAAGCACTAATCAGGAAATTAGTTCCCCATATTAGTGCTTTAGTGCTTTAGTGGAGCTGTGCCCACCACTGTATGAGTTCATTTCTTGAATGAATGCATRCTACTCATCACCTGTCATGGCAGAGTTTTAGCCCAAGATCAGTTTTGTTTTAGATTAAAAGAAGCCAAGGTATATGTAGATGTTTTGGTCAAACTTTACAAATTATGTACAATCTTGTGACTTTGCAGGATGTTGTGTGATTTGTTGGCACTTAAAGTATGTGCTGAGGATGACTCTCAGCTTCTACCATATAAAACATCAACTCAGTGTCTCAGTTTTGTCGATTTGTATACTTTTTTCCACGGGACTTTGACCCATTGTCAATTACCACATTATCAATATCACAATTTCACAAAACAAATTAGATCATGTAAATGTAGTTATAAGGTATGGAAGTGTTGGTTTGTGTAAGGTGAAAGTAAAAAAAACTGGTAGGACCAGTCACAGACAGAAATTCATTTTGTACATGATGGACATGTTGCTTGTAGACTCAACAAGTAACAGAAAAAAATGACTAAGAATATCCTTTAAACTGAAAAAGACTTGGACAGAAATAAACACAGTAACTGTGTGAGAACCAAAATCATAACACAAACTCTCAAAACTGTGACAAAATAAAAGAATAAAGTTTCTCAACTGACCAGATAAAAATAATAAACATTTGTATATGTTTGTGTGTGTGTGTCTGTGTGTATGTGTAGACCTCCACTGCCGTTGTGAACATTGTTGTGACAGATGTTAATGACAATGACCCCGTGTTCAATTCTTCACTGCCGGTGAACCTCACAGTCATCGAGGAGCAAGATCACGCCTACGTTGGACAGGTCAAGGTAGGAAGGTGCTCATATACACACACACACTATGCTTACTTGTGAATCATCCAACAAACAAACAACCTTCCCCTCCTTTACCTCACAGGTTTAGCTGCTTTATCGTCGACTGTATGTTTGTTTTATGCTAATTTATTCAGAATGTTCTGCTGCATGACTTGATATTTGTTTGAGGTTTTTTAAAACTTTGCATAACAAATCCTAAACAACAAAAATACCAGTTTTGTTTATAAATGATGACTGTATCAAGAACTCCTTTATTGGACAATTAAAGACCCAGCGAGAGAGAACGTCGAGTCACAGATTACGTTTGCCTCTATCATTTTTCAAGTGGAACAGACCTGCATGTTTATGGATGATTACACAACTGTAATGGCTTTTAAAACAGTTTTAATGTAATTAACACAACAATATTAAATGTAACACTTTAAACTTGAACTAATCTGTCTTTTTACGTGCATTCCTGTGCTGTGCTCRTGTGCACCAATGCAACTCGCTGCCAGCTGGGTTTTTTGTTATTATTTTTGAGAAATGATATGACTTTGTGTAATTTAATCCTAATTATTTAAAGTTTAGTCAAACTGAATATTTTTTCWTGCAGAAACACTGAATGCACTACCAGCCAAGGCTTACCCTTTAAGAAAGTGCCAGTATGATTAATAATGTAGATGTGAGCTGTTCCTGGAACTTAGATGCAACAGAGGAGTGTAGTTTTAGCCGAAAGGATTAAATCACTCTAACTGTCACGAAGTGTGCAGGCCATCCTCAGATTTCTGAAGAACTGAACCATTTTCAGTATCTGAGAATTGAAAACCAAAATGCCCATGTGGTGCAGATTTAATACTGCACAATACTGCACAACTTTTGGTAATTTTCAGTTCTGTTGATGAATTTCTACCTTTATTGACCATATACGCATGCCCACAGGACCTGTGTGTCATCAGAACTTATGAGAGGTGTCAAATTTAGTAAATTAGTTTCATATTGGTCCACCTAGCAGTTAATTGTTCAGATGAGGTTTTATTGTTTTCTATGGGGATCAAAGATATATAACATAGTAGCTTTGTAAGGGTAGCTTTTAGACAAAATAGTAGACAAAACACAAACTTTTGTCTTCATGCGCTTGCATGAAAACTATCAGTATGGGTTATTTTTTTAACCACAGATACATTTTTGTGAAGAAAAGTAATTTTCTGTGTAAAAATCCATGGGCAATAAAAACCAAAGCTTAGATTTTAATGTGAAATAAATAAAGGTTCAAAAATGAGGGGAAAAAAACAACATTAATAGCATATCATGAGATCTTTTGAACTTTCTCCAAACCCCCATAGCTGGCAATTCTTATGAAAGGATGGGGGGTAAATCTGCCACTTTAGAAGGCTCTGATCTTTTAAAGACACTCCCTTTCTTGGATTTGCTCCTAGCTTAATTCATAGCCTTTGTACACTTGGTGTCAGGAGGTCTTTGATCAGTCTGACTTTTTGCCAAGGTCTAAATGTTAATCAGGAATCTTTGGTTCACCACTAGAGCTGCTGCTCTTAAACTTATTTGACCCTTATACATCATTATAAACAACTCTCAGCAACTCATCCCAACTTATTATCTTTACATAATTTGGACACTAGGTTCAATTCCAAGTTTATAAATTCAACCAACGCTGAAAAGAAGACCATTTCAAATTTTTAACTTTTCACTCAGCCCTTTGGTCTCATTTCAATTACAACATCCAAAACCTGCCGTAATTGCAAGAGAGGGTCTTTGAAAGTATTCCGGTCCCGAGCTCCCTCTCTTTCAAAGACCCTTGGACATGATCCAAAGGAAAACAGACGGTGCAATCCCTCGCAGCCTCAGCAAGGCATGACTTTGGGCCTAATTCCAAACCAGGCTCCATACCTATAGGTATTAAACATACTGTATGTCTGGAAGAATGGATAGAGCTGACCTTGGTTTGCTGGCGCATGTATGGTATAATGAGATGGAAGGAAAGGCGGAGGTGAAACATGCCGGAGTGGCAGATGGATATGAAGAATGACTCAGGGGAGAGGAAGCAGAGTTTGAAAAAGACAAGGAGAGATGAAAGCTAAAAGAGAGCAGCAACATTCCCAATCGGACTTTAAGTTTTTCACAAAGTTTTTGAAGTGAAATTAGAAACAGCTGATGGAATGAATTCATATTATTCAATCAATCAATCAATTAATCCAAAAATGTTTGTATAATTTGTAGAGCAAATACTTATAATTTAAAATCAATTTGAGTTTGTTGGTAAATGTTTAGGTATAAGACAATAAAATACATTTTCTTGAAGATAAAGTTATGGTCAAACAAAACTTCTATTCTGAACCCTTTCAATGTTCAGAAACATCAAGCTGCTGTATTCATTTTGAATGACAGATGCATGAGAAATWAAAGAGAGAACCTGACAGGAAATACAAGCAACTCAAAGCAGGTGGAGACAGGTCTCAGGTAAGAGTGAGGAAGAAACAGCTTTCTGAAGAGGTTGGAGGGGTGGTGGGTAAAGAAAAGAAAGCTTATCTCCTCTGGACAGACAGTTCCTACTCTGTTCTTGAGAATGTCAAAACTAAAGGAGTTGGCTTTTTTTAGTCTGAGAACCTGTCTAGATAAAAAGCTTTGGACCTTAAACGATCCTTCCTAAGGTACATAGTTGGTCATTTCTTTTTTCTTGTTTGCTCTGCTGTAACAAAAGTTTTTATTTCTAAGAGTAATTTTAATTTTACCAGTAATACATTAGTTTCTTAACTATTTTGTTTGTCATCGGGTAACATATTTGGATCGTAACTACAACTTTGGAGAATAAATCAAAAAGTGCAAAAAGGAATGGCATATGGAAGTACATTTTATGATAACATGGGAATAGTAATGTTCATGCATGTGTGTGTGTGTGTGTGCGCGCACACACACACACACACA